TGGGTGTATAACAGAATAGTTATGGACTTTGTTGGGTGTATAACAAAGTCATCCCAGGATTAAAAATAATTAACTACCTGTATTTGTACAATTTTCAGTGTTCTCCCTTAATTTTGAAATAGGTGGTTGAATTGAAAATATTAGCCAATGAAATGTTCACATGCTAAATTTCTGACCTATACGTATATGATTCTGAAAAAATATAGCCGGTTCAATGTTGATCAATGACATATATATATGTCATAATTTATTATTATATTTAGCTATATTACTTAGCACATGATAAATTCAGCAAAATCAAATATTGAGAATGTGCTTTTCTCACGACCAGGTAGAGTTGTATCACCAAATTGGCAATCACGTATGTATACAGCGCTGTGACAAAAGTGATCATGATTTTCACAAAATGGCAACATCATCATAGTTCACTTGCTTTGGTGCAGCCTGTGGGATATAATTACTGGCTGAAGACTCAATGACTTCTGTTGAGATTTCTCCAGAAGCTTCCCAAAACTTGTAGTGACATCATTTGTCATATTAGGTTGTCTGCTCAGAGGAATTCTGTGCAAACAAACTGTGTCATCAAATTAAAAAATGGGAAGAAAATCTGCAGAATTCTCTGATCATGCCAAAGAAATCATTGTAGATTAATTTGAAGACTGAAGGCCATAAAACCTGTGAACAGGTTATATTTTTTTAAATTACACAACATACCAGACTCTAAGATAAGTTGCAATTGGAAAAAGTATTTAGATTGTTCTAACTTGATAAACAGCTGATGAAGTGGCTCAGTAAGCTGTCACTGCAGGATAAAACTTTGTTGTTTTGGTGAAGTTAACAGAGGATTGGTTTTAAGAGACTAAACAAGTGTTCTTTATTTAATGACAGACAGACCTCAGATGGAGTCGTTAATCAAAAACTATTCAAAGATTTTAACATAACAAGAGTACCGCTGGGCGGAACAATATACGCCCGTTGAATGCCATATAGTGTTATATACTTTCTTACATTGAAATAAGATCTGCATCATTCTAAGAGTGGTTAGGTGACACATGCTATAAAAAATGTAGGAGAAAATCTCTGGACGAAAAAAATCAAATACTGAAATGAACAAAGGGCAATAACTTTTGTAAAAATCGTTGAATCAAAATTCTTTTGAGGGAGACACAACTTCATATCATGATTATAATGTATACCAATGTAGAGGGAGATTGCCAAAAGTTTACGCCAGACGGACGGACAACGCCATACCATAATACTCCCGTCAAATATGATGGGCATACGTGGAGTAGTGAAGAAGTAGTGGTATTCAAAATCAACAGGAAAACCGTTTAACATAGTGTTTGGAGAAAAAACCGTTTAACATGGTGTTTGGAGAAAAAAACGTTTAACATGGTGTTTGGAGAAAAAAACGTTTAACATGGTGTTTGGAGAAAAGACAACTTTCTGTAGGCCAGTAATATTTTCTGATGAAGGTCAGCTGGTGGTCATTGGTGATAATCATCACATTTATGTATGGAGAACGGCCCATGAATCGTATTTACTCCAGTGCATGTGTCCTCCCCGACAGTGACATGTTTCTGTTATGGTGTCGAGATGTATCAATTATCATGGAGTTGGGAATCTCTGCTGGTTCAAGGTAATATTGAAATATATTGACATATTGGATGACCAGCTTTGGTCAGTTATTGCCCACTGTTTGGCCAATAGTCCATACTGTTCCTGAGATGACAATGCCCCCGTGCATCAGGCAAGTGTTACCAACGAATACAAACACAACAACAACATTCCTACCATTATATGGCCATGGCATTGGCAGCCAATTCTCCTAACACAATATAATGTAAAATTTTGACTGCGGATCAAACACCGACATCAAAACGGGCACAGCTAGAATATCAGGACCCAGGACAAAATTTTCTGATTGAAGCACTCTATATTTCAAACATTTCTTAAAAATCATGAAAGCTTTAGCAGTCATACCGCTGTAGGTAATTTTAACAGCATGGTTTAACCATTGTGTACTAATTATCCTCCTTTTCACTGAAGCGTGATGGTCGGTGACCATAACTTTGCATTATAGCAAATGTTCTCATTAAATATTGTATTGTACTACAACTTTGTCACTCGCAAACTTTGTCGACTCCATCTGTTGAAGCTACCAGTCAAATATTATTACAAGATTTTATGCTTTTTGGCCATCGTTCTTCCTCAAAAGTTGTTTAACATATTTTTCTCTGTGGCCTTGTAAGTATATCAATTCAGTTTCCTTCTCAAACTTTTATAGCTCTATCCCAAGAAGCTACCAGCAAAAACTTTATTTATGAATCCATTCCCTTTGGTTCTTCAGAACAAATCCTTTGAAATGTTGTTGACCTCTTTGACATTTAAAGTAGGTTGAGGTCATTTTAATTTGTAAACTTTGGTGAGCTCTATATATATATCCCAAGAAGCCACTAGCCAAATATTATAATTTTATGCCTTTCGATTTTGCAGATTATATACCTTTTAGTTCTTCAGAAGAAGTCGTTTGAAATGTTCGATATACTTGACTGCTGTGAACTTGAAAAGAGGTCAGTCATTTTCATTCTAAAGCTTTGTCGGGCTCTATCCCAGGAAGCCACCAGCCAAATATGAAGGTTCTATACCTTTTAGTTCTTCAGAAGAAGTCGTTTAAAGAGTTTCACATATTTGACCACTGTGACCTTGAAAGTAGGTCAAGGTCATTTTCTTTCTCAAACTTTGTCAGGGTCTATCCCAGGATGCCACCAGCCAAATATAAAGATTCTATACCTTTTCTTTTTTCAGGAGAAGTAGTATGAAGTGTTTGGCATATTTGACCGCTGTGACCTTGAAAGTAGGTCATGGTCATTTTCATTCTCAAACTTTGTCAGGCTCTATTCAAGGAAGCAACCAGCCAAATATAAAGGTTATATACAGTACCTTTCAGTTCTTCAGAAGAAGTTGTTTGAAGGGTCTGACATATTTGACCCCTGTGACCTTGAAAGCAGGTCAAGGTCATTTTCATTCTCAAACTTTGTTGGGCTCTATCTCAGGAAACCACCAACCAAACATAAAGATTCTATACCTTTTCGTTCTTCAGGAGAAGTTGTTTAAAGAGTTTGACATATTAGACCCCTATGACTTTGAAAGTAAGTCAAGGTCATTTTCGCCAACTTTGTTGGGCTTCTACCAAGGAAGCTTTCAGTCAAATATCATGGCTCTACGCCTGTCCGTTCTTCAGAAGAAGTTGTTTAAAGGAAAAGTTGACGGATGACGCACCATGACATATTAAAGCTAAAAACCAAAGTGGTGTTGCATTTGCCGATCCTTCAGGTCCTTGGTTTATAGGTTAAATTATGTGTTCATATTCACAATATGTAATGTACATATATCCTTGCAGAAATCACAGATACGTCTTAGTACCACCCTCCCCCAACCTTGATTCCCTGATTATCACATGCTCCTTCTTGGAATATTTTTCCTTGCCTGCTCTCGTATGGTGATAGCATTTTTGCACAATATAAATAGAACTACGCAAAAATTATACAACTGCAAATTATACAAGGCCTATGTCTATATTTCAGAGACTGCAATTTTTTTGTTGAATCACATAATCTGATACTTCTACATTTTTAAATTATGTAGATCTTGCAGATGTACCATACTTGATTAAGACATGATTGTTTGTGTAGTTAGTCTTGTGTTTGCTCTAAAACGATGTTGTATAACATATTATATTTTATATGTCCTTGACTTGAACAGGCGTAGGGTCACCAAAGTTATGACTACGGATTCTTAGCCACGAAGATATTTTCAATCAAATAATGAATTGGAAATATCAAGATTATCACTTTCTTGCTTTCAGAGATAAACTAAAATCTTACCTGTTGTGATAATACATTGCTGTTGACACGTAAAAGTGTCCGTTTGGGCACCTTGCAGACTACGGCAGCCGCCATGTTGCTTATTTACCTTAGATGCAAAAGGTCTGTGAATCGCCTTCATTACGAAATGTAGGTTTCATATATTTTCATAAGAAATGCTTTTGATTTTATTTGATTTGTTATTAAAATCAAGAAATTATTTCCCAATTCTGTTCATTGTAGTTCATTATCGCAATTAGGCCTGTATAGCCTTTCCGAATAGGGTAATATTAAGGTGAATTAAACGTTTGTAATGCCATAGCAATAGATGCTTACACAACGTGCGTTCAAAGCGTTTGTTTGACGCCGAGTAGTATGTACACAAACCGGCACTGTCTACTGATCGAGGAAAAAGGAATCGGGAGTTTTCCTTCGAAGAGCATTTGTAAGAACCTATGCCATTTTGTATTCTGAAACCATGAAGATTTTAAAGCATTTCTTATCTTAAAATGTGTATTTTTTTTCGGGTGAATTCCATTATTGGCGATTTGCAGGTGGCAGTATGTGGGGAACGAATCGAAACCAGGAATATATTTAAAAATGAATAATGATAGCGACTTCATGTACACGGTGATAAGTCTGGATATCTGTTTACCTCTGACATTGCTTGTAATTAAAACATATGGGATGGGTCGTTTTTCCCTAAATAATGTTGGCCCCAGGTTGTTATAAATATCAGTTGAAATGTTTTTATTGAACGAAAAAGCTTATTTTTTTCATAATTTGCAATCAATTGTGTTGTTGGAAGTGTAACAGGAGAGGAAAAGTGCACGGCTATAGACCGGGGTTCTGAAATCTAGATGGATGCTCTAACTGATTGAGCCACGTACCTGGTCGCTGGCAATCGACCCAGTCAAGTGCTGCTACATTCCTCCCTCCTTTACAAAGTCTTCAACCCCAAACACACACAAGACCCTCTACCCCAATTCTGTGTAGTTATATTCATTGGATGTGCAGATCTCATTGACTGCATACAAATTAACAAGTCATAATGACATAAAGACTAAGGATGATCTTGGAAAAGCTCACTAGAGACTGTATCAGCAATACACAACTGTGAAACAACTCGGAGTGAAAAGGCCAGACGGCATTTAGGTCAAAACGACCGAACACTTTTGTAAAAAAAAAGATAACACATTCGATGATTTCTGTACCAAAAAACAATATTGAGCTTGCAATAGAAGGTTTGTGTTCTGTACTTGTATCTGAGAAGACTTCACTTCTGAAGATGAATACTCTTGAGGGGGTTTCTGATGCCAGCCTTGTGACAAAAGGGTTGTGGGTTCGAGTCATGACATATGGCACTTTGTTGTATCTTTGAGCAAGATGCTTTACTCTGCTTGTTCCAGTCTATTCATCTGTAAATAAGTATGTGGTTGGGCAGAGCTAGAATTGTAGAATGCTAGCTGTGAGCGCAGAAATGACAGCACCGTCTGTATGCTCCCCAGTGAGTTGAGAAAGATATTGGCTGCATGGTTGCAAAGGCCCTATAACCACGGATAATAATTTGTGAACCACTTTGAGACGAACTAGGTTGTGATAAAGCAGTATATAAGAACCTCGAATTATTATATTATTATTATCTGTAGAGTGGCCAACTGGGAAGCTCGGGGACGCTGATTTGATCCCTGAAGGAAGCACATTACTCTCCTTTCTGGCGCAAGTGGTATCTGTGACCCTATGGCGACAAGGAGTTAAAACATGGGTTATTGTGGTGTTTACGGGCAAAAAAATTTAAAATGAGGGGTATTAGCAGGGCATGTTTTAATTGTGTATTTAAGTTGCATTCACTTTTATATGTAGCTTTGCGCTGGAGGGACTTGGTTCAATTGGTACAGCAGGGGACTGGGAAGCTGTGGGCCTCACTGGTGTGAACCCGCTCTAGAAGCACACTAATCTCTTTCCTTGTACACTATAAATGTCTTATAATTGAACTTTTGTGAAAACTTTTATTTCTGGATGGTATCATTTAACAATAATCAGATAAAAACCAGACTTAGAAAATTGTTTCCCTTTTGGAACAGGATTTTCTCCTACCCTGGACAGGTGTATCCACAGTTTTACCGGTGTGAGATTTCCTTGTCTCACCCTAGGGTTGAGACTGGGGGAATTCCTCTATTCATAACAATGGTATGACCTCACTTCAACAATACAATGACGTCACATCAACATTCCATCAACGTCACGTCAACCCTGAATTTAGCATGTAACGTTATCATTACATTTCGTTACAACAAATTTATTGGCCAAAAAATTGCACAATTGGATAAGACAACAGGCTTAGCCTATATAAGTCTTCTCCTATCCGGTATTAATTGACAAGAACATTGTGTATATGATACACAAAGGGAGAACAGGGTAAGAGAAAAAGAATCATTCATTCCCTTGTGGGTGAGATAGGGGATTCTCAACCCTCTGGGAAAGATTCTTAAGTTGCCAATCACTGGGCAAAGCCTCGTGTTTGGCAACTTAAGATTCTCTCCCCCTCGGGTTGAGATTCCCCTATCTCATGATATCCCCAAGGAGGTGAGAGATTCTATTAATCCCTTCTGATTTTGGTGTTATTTAATTTAATGACAAGCTAAGGTCAAGGAGGCTATAAATAGAATAATATCTGTAACATATACGTTTCTGGAGTATGAACAAACGTTTTTTTCCCACAGTGCCATAGTTGGGTATATGCCCCTAAACCTGGAGCTTATTCGGGAGCATATGTCAGTTCTATTATCACTTTCACTTGTTTTTGACCTTGTAATTATGTCAAATGTATATATCTTTTATCTTGCAGTGAATTATGATGACAATGCTGATTGTATTTTCAGACTAAGCAACAATGGGTATCCTTTCCAATCCACAACAGCGACAGAAAATCGTTGACATCATTGCCAAGTACAACAACGCGCTGTGTTTTGTCTGCTATGTGGCTGGTGTGGCCTGGTTTCTGGCGCTCGCCTACCCTCCAATGAGTGCCAGCAATTACTTCTCAGAAAACGCTCTTTTGCCGGGTAAATATATATAATACAGCAATGAAGAAATGTGCTGGGATTTTTTTTATATATTTTTGATTACATCTAAGAAAGCATATATATATATATCATGGTTTTGAATTTAGAACTATAAACTGTTAGCTTTATATCATAAGAGACTTGCATGCCCAGGGGTGTAGGATAAGCTTTATATCATAAGAGACTTTCATGCCCAGGGGTGAAGGATAAGGAAATTCCATCTGAAGGATTTTCAAATTTGGTAAAACCCGAGGCTTTGTCAAAGGTTTTGCCAAATTTGAAAAATCCTGAAGGATCAGACTTTTCCAAATTTGTGACGTCATGTCACGTGAAACAGGATGTATTAGGTAGACATTTCTTGAAACCCTTTCTTAGGGTTAGGGTTAGGGCTGTCTTGCACACACTGAAATGAGAGATTAAGTGCGATGACATTTTGATACTTGTGTTGCCCCGTCCTGTTGTCATGCATCCTGCTTAATTATCTTTTTGGACGTGGATTGGCATGAAGAGGACTTAACTTTGAATACTGATTAAACTAAACAAATGTTACCAGCTCCCGGGAACGCAGAAGTTTAGGCCTTTACTGCTAAGGCCAAATAAAAAATATTTGCTGCTTCCAGTAACCCTACCTACCCTAACTTTTTTAATTATTGCTACATCCATCTTCGTGCATCGTCCGTTAACATTTTACATTTTCAACTTAAGCTGAAATACTGGCAAAGGGAATTCATGGGAAGGTTACTGACATCTCCCTGACGAAGTGTTGTTATTTTTCGGGTCGTTCAGAAATCCAATATGGCCACCACGGCCACCATTTTGAAAAACTATTTCAAACTTAAAAACAAGTTCTAATAGGCCGATTTAACTGAAACTCAGTCAAGGAATGATCAGCTCATGGTCCTGACAAACTTAAGTTAATGTTATACTTAACTATTTTTTACTCAAATTGGTACATATTTCAGCAACAAAAATAAACACTGTAGGACTCAGGTGACCATTAAGGCCCATGGGCCTCTTGTTTGTGCTTACCCTAAACTTTTTTTTTTTAAATCAAAGAAGCACTGAAACTTAAATTAAATAGTGTATTTTCACTGCTTATATTTTAAATTTGTATTTTATAAAAAAAAAAAATGAAATATACCAGTTTTAACATTTATTATGGTGTGACCATGCTTGCGTGCTACAAATAAGAAATGTATGTATAATTAATTATATATATAAATCCATGAATTTTGAAAAAAATGTTCTTCAGTTCATCCAATAAGTCGGTATTGTTAAACTGTATTATCACATAATGTACTGTGTTGTCCAGTGAATATACCCATGTCATATATTTTGGGTATTAACCCATGTTATATGACCTATCAACCCTGTGATAAGTTTCAACTGTTTTAATTGTGACGTCACGCCTAGGACAAGTACATGATGTCACAGACTTATTAAGCACTGGAGTCAAAATGGCAGCTTTTTACATTTCAAGGTGGCATGAAAACTGTCGTTTTACACGAATAAATGCCACAAATCTTGATTATGTGATAAAAAGGATTTTTCACTCGTTTTCATTTCATATGAAATTCATGAAACTCGTCACAAACTTTTCATTTTAGCTCGCCAGAGGCTGGCTAAATTGAAAAATTCTTAGGACTCATTTCATAAATCTCATTTGAAATGGAAACTCGTGTAAGATCCTATATTTATACTATAACTATGCCTATTCAGAAATGACTTAATCTGGCCCTTAAGCTGTGGTTTTGATCATTTCATGTTTATTAAGTCCCCCAAAACAAAGTTTTGGGGACTTATTGTTTTTACTCCGTTTCTTCTTCTTATTATTATTATTCTTCTGTGTTCTTCTTCTTCTTCTTCTTCAGCCATGAACTTGTCCGGAGGTCTTTTCAGAAACTACTGGGTGGTTAATCATGAAACTACACACATATACTCATTAGGGGGTCTAGGTGTGCAACAAGCTATTTTTATCTCGACCGGAAGTCCAAGATGGCCGCTATGAATTTTTGAAATTTTTGGGAATTTAAAATTTCTAAAGGTGTTCGCTAAGGTTAGCCAATGTCACCTATCCTATTTTACATATATTTTCCAATGCATTCCAAATTTTGCATGTAGGTGTATGATGGTACCACAAACACAACTATGACATCCGTTTTCTAATTAAACAAAATGGCTGCCATATACTGGTTTCTGATTGGTCGAAGCTCCGTTGTAGTTCGATTTAGTTTAAATTTAGTATGTATGTGTAATATGGCATTGCAAACTCAACTGCGACATTTGTTTTCTAATTTCACAAAATGGCCACCATATACTGGGTTCTGAATGGTCCAAATATAGATGTTGTCTGATTGTCCCCGGAATCGGTACACAATGGTTTTGAGTGATGCCGAACACAATGGTAACAGTTTCGGAAAGCTCAGTTACCATGATAACGAAATGGAGGCCTCTGATTGGTCGAAATTAAGAAGTTGTCTGATTCTGTCCAAAATAAGTACATAAGGGGTTTTAGCGATGCCAAACACAATGGAAACAGTTTCGAACAGCTCAGTTGCCATGGTAACAAAATGGAGTCCTCTCATTGGTCGCAATTTAGCTGTTGTCTGATTTTGCCTAAGTCCCTAACTCCAACAGGGGTCGTTGGGGGATTTCTGTAACGGCCATCTGTTACAATTAGTACTAGTTTTAGAATAAGATTCGATTCCTGAAATGAATTTAAATTTTGATGAACACCAGAGACATAGAAAAGGTGGGTGCTGTTTTTTTGGGTCCCTAGATTTCTAGATTTCCCCCAGATTAAATGACGAGTCATGATCAGTTACTTTGCCTGTATAACATGTGATAGCTCAGGTTGACATTTGGTCCAGAGTGATTTTATGTAGGTTATGGGGTAAACTACAATGTCTTTGGAATAGTTGTAATTCCAAGGGCATATTTTGGGCTAAAGTCCATTGGTAAACAGGAACTTTTTATATGAACGTCATAGACTTGACAAATAATGGCTAGGAGATGAACATTATTCATTTCTTAACCTTTTATCTGTTCAGGTCTTGTGGAAAATGAGTTTTTCTCCAGTGCTGACATCAAAGCTAATATTGATGACTATAGATCTCAACTCAAGAAAGATAAAAGGTAAGAATTTTATTTAAGATTTTAAGAAAAGATTATTCGAGAAATGCGGGTCTATTGTGAAATTATATGTTGTGTCAGAATAATTAAAAAATCTCATTTTGATAAAATTTGAGAAAAAAAGTTTAGGGTAAGCACAAACAAGAGGCCCATGGGCCTTAATGGTCACCTGAGTCCTACAGTGTTTATTTTTGTTGCTGAAATATGTACCAATTTGAGTAAAAAATAGTTAAGTATAACATTAACTTAAGTTTGTCAGGACCGTGAGCTGATCATTCCTTGACTGAGTTTCAGTTAAATCGGCCTATTAGAACTTGTTTTTAAGTTTGAAATAGTTTTTCAAAATGGTGGCCGTGGTGGCCATATTGGATTTCTGAACGACCCGAAAAATAACAACACTTCGTCAGAGAGATGTCAGTAACCTTCCCATGAATTCCCTTTGCCAGTATTTCAGCTTAAGTTGAAAATGTAAAATGTAAAAATTGTATTAAAATAAAGATGAAGTGATTTATTCAGTAGATAAGTAAAAAGCTCGGAAGGCATGTTTAAATGTCACGAGCCATGATTAACCTAACCGTGAGTTCCTCTCACAGCTGACACTGTGGTGGGGATGTCACAGTACACAGGAGTGTACCATGATATATTTACAAATGCTCTATTGCAATGCAGAAAGCATGTACTGTGATGTGTATCAGTTGTATCCTCTCTAGGAAAAAGGGGATCAATTTAGAACAAATTATAGTCAGAATGTTTTCAAACTAAATCATATATACCCGGATCATATGGATCACACAGATTTTCGTTAAACCAGCCACTAGTATTAGCCTATTTATGGTTATTGGAATATCTGTCAGGATGTGTAATCATTTGTTAAGTTAAAAACACCTAGCAGATACAGTGCTTTTGAAAAATATTGCAAAACAGCTATAATTCATTTCTATATTGCGATAAGATATAATATACCTGTGTATTGCGATAAGATACAATATACCGGTGTATTGCGATAAGATACAATACGCCTGTGTTTTGCGATAAGATACAATATACCTGTGTATTGCGATAAGATACAATACGCCTATGTATTGCGATAAGATACAATATACCTGTGTATTGCGATGAGATACAATATACCTGTGTATTGCGATATGCCAGTTTTCCATTATATCGTGACAGCCGTAGCTACAATGTGGTGTTATTGCTATGTTAAAGGAAGGTGCCGAGGGAGTGGGTATACGAGAAGCTGCAATCCTTGGGTCTCGACACCTACCTCCATAACTACAGCATCCGCTACCCCCTCGGGATCACCAAGGATAAGGTAGGCTACTATAGAGGTGTGGAACTGTTGATTTGTCCACCACCAGTACTACTGTAGAGGTGTGGAACTGTTGATTTGTCCACCACCAGTACTACTGTAGAGGTGTGGAACTGTTGATTTGTCCACCACCAGTACTACTGTAGAGGTGTGGAACTGTTGATTTGTCCACCACCAGTACCACTGGAGATGACTGTAAGTACTCAGCCTTACAATGTTACTGCCTCTCTTTGTCATGTGATCACAATATCGCAAATACTCTCAGCCCTGTCACCCACAATTGCTCCATTATTTGTGAAGTCGTGGCCCACATTTTTATGCTCCTGTAGCCATTTTGAACGGGTTTGATCGGGGTGGAGGGTGGGGGTCACAAATAGTGTTACCTGTCTCCTGTTTTGTCCCAATTCATTGTCAAGATTCTACCTAGTTTATTTCTTAACAGATTTCCATCAAATTTGATGACTAGGTCAAGACTACGAGAAAACCTCAGATGTGTTCATAATATTTCAGGATCTCAAGGTCAATGCCAAGGTCACTGTTTCTATTTATTGGTCAAAGGGGTATATCCTGCCTAAGAGACATTTTCTAATAAACAGCAAATTTAGTCTAGAGATTGTGGACTATTGACCTCTCCCACTACTGTGAAGGTATTATTGTTTGGATTAAGCACAGAATCAACAAAGACTATATGGGGCATCTGCTACTGTTAATGTCCTGTAAAAAGGGAGCTAACTTCTACTGTTAATGTCCTGTATAAAGGGAGCTAACTTCTACTGTTAATGTCCTGTATAAAGGGAGCTAACTTCTACTGTTAATGTCCTGTATAAAGGGAGCTAACTTCTACAGCTTCTAACATATATAAACAGGAATCAGTTAAGACTTTGATATATGTGTTTAAGTCCCCTCACCAGTGCTACCAGATGGAGCCCCACACCTATGTACAAAGGACCTTTGTTTACTGTGTGACTTTGTACTATATCATGTCATCTACAACTGACACATTTTCTGTGTGATGACCTCTTTGACTGGCAGGTTGTTGTCTACTGAATTTGAGTCTCATATCCCTCTGTATAAAGAGTTATTGCCCTTTGCTGCTGTTTTTATACCAAAGTTTGTAGGGTATGTTGCTGTTTTAATACCAGAGTTTGGAGGGTATGTATACCATTCACACCTTCTATGTGTGATATGGAATTCATAAAGACATTGATAGTATGAGAGTTATTTCTCAAATAAATTTTGTTAGTGTGCCAAAATAAAGTCACTGTGTCAAGTGTCACCTCAAGAACAATAGTATTTTTTTCTTTTCTTTACAGACCGTCCCTGGACAGAACGTGTATGCTATATTGCGTGCGCCGCGGGCAGCCAGTAACGAGGCGTTGGTGATGTCATCACCCCTGAGAGCCAAGGAATCTGACCTGACGCCTACAACAGGGGGAATCGCTGTCATGCTGGCGTTGGCTAAGTTCTTTAGGCGTATGTTCGACTAGGACAATAATGATACACTGACTGTTCAATACTTATCAGGGTCTAGTACCCGTAAAGCTTTATGATAAAAACAGCCAACATATATCATGTTAAAGTTATAGCTCATGATCAGGTCAGAACAACAAATTATACAGTTAACACACTTTCCTGTCTTTCATTTCATACTTAGAGCCAAAACGATTCCAAATCACCAATCTGAAGTTCTTTAGCAGATTTTATAGTCTCACTGAGGTGTCTGATACACCCATGTTGATATTTTTAATGCACTAAACACAACAGTAACTGATTAATTCAATCAGTTATAGATGTCCCATTCTGCTAACAGAATTATCAGCCCAATCTATCACAGAGGATTACCAAACTGAGATCAGAATCAATTATAAGCTAACTTTAGTACATTCTATACCTAATGGCAGCAGACTGAGAGATATTAGCAAAGATTTGTATAATAGCAAAATGAACAACATCAGCTTAAAAATTAATCTGACTTTCTTTTAATTTAATATTTGCAATGTATCTTACAAAAGTTACCATGCATGGTTTTACTAAATGCATATATCACATAAGCTACCCTACTGGTCGTACTTAAGATAGATCCCACAGGTGTCTGTTCCTGGTCGTACTTAAGATAGATCCCACAAGTGTTCGTTCCTGGTCGTACGTAAGATAGATCCCACAGGTGTCCGTTCCTGGTCGTACTTAAGATAGATCCCACAGGTGTCCGTTCCTGGTCGTACTTAAGATAGATCCCACAGGTGTCCGTTCCTGGTCGTACTTAAGATAGATCCCACA